ATCCATCTCGGCACCGTGGTTGTGTGTGAGTTCCAAGGTGGAACCTCAGTTGGATGGGACGAAACGGACCAAAAACAAGGTGCAGGCGTCAACTTGAAGAGGTGCAAACCACCCGACTTTCGAGACGTCAGTCTATCAGCACCCGCATCCTGGCGTTCCAGGTCGATTCGGCTCGCCATTGGCGCTCTGAAAAGAGGTCTTAAGTGGTGATCACTTGGGTGCTGGTTGGAAGCATCTGCGAAAAGTCTGTCAAGGTCGTGTGTTTCAGACTCATCAAAAGAACATATTAATATACCTAGCGCTTCCAATGGGTCTCCAGTCTGGTGACCTATAAGCAGTGAAGGGTGGTCCATTGGTAACCCCTTGCAAGCAGCTGGTGTTATATAAGTTATATATATATATAACATATAACTGTTTTACAGGTCAAACTAGCATGTGTTCATTCAATCTGTGCTCCACGACCGCTCTGTTCGATTGAGACGGATGGAGAGTTTAGTCAGTTGCTCAGTTTTTGATGCTATGGGGGCCCAAACCTGCTCGATGGCTTCCTTACCAGTCCCCCATAAGTGTCTGGCCTGACATCGTCCACAAGTAGCGCTCGTTCTCGATGCCGGTTTTCCTGATGTCAGGGTGTTGTCGATTCACGGCGAAAGAACTGGGTCAATCTCAATCAAGTGTGATCCCATCTCAAACAATCACCGACTCCAAGCATCTCCATCGTACAGGTAGGCACCTGCTGGCCATCCCGGCACCGCTCCAGGAAGTACACGGTGAACTTCCACTGAGGAAACCTCTCCATCCGGGCGGATGGATCGCTGGATGGAACCGGTCCCAAAACGAGGACGCTCATTGTACTTTGCTAACTGCTTGGGATGCTCATGGTTCTTTGTAATTGCTGCGGTTGAAAACAAGAGAACAAAGCCGTTCATGGTCCTGGAGGGAGAGGACCTCCGTGCACTGATCCGGCTAACCGTGTTGCTGTGAGGCGCAGTGTCTTCAACGATGTTGTTTTTTGTTTGGGGCAAACGGTGGATGGCAAAACTCATCAAACCTCAGTCTCAAAAAACTTCAAACATCTTTATTGGATTTGATTCGACCATGTCTCTTGTTTTGGCTCTTTTTTGCCGCTCTGTGACCATAAGTGCCACTTGCGGCCGTGGGGCTCAATCCAATGAATCAGCTTCATGCCAAAATTCCTGAGGCCGCCAGGCTAGCTTTCACACATCACCCATCCATAACTACACAAAATGATCCAACTTGCGGCTGGAAACATGTGATGAAACCCTCCAGGGTAACAAACCCCCTGTTAACCCCAAAAGGACCAGGTGGTTGATATAATATTATCGCTGGCGACTAACTAATCCTCATGATGTTCAAAGCGCCGCTTCACCATTTCTATCTCCCAACATGTGACTTTGTGAAGCCTTCAATAAGCCATCAAAAGCAGCAACAATCCCAATATCAATATATATGCAAAAATAAACATAATGTATATATATATATACATACCCCGCATTTTACCAATAAAACCTATGGAAAACCGTGGATTTTTTCCCAGCAGCGGAGCAAGCAAGCAAGCAGGCAGGTAGGCAAGCAAACAAGCAGGCAAGCAATCGAGCAAGCAAGCAAGCGAGCGAGCGAGCGAGCGAGCGAGCAAGAAAGCAGGCTAGCAAGCAAGCGAGCAAGCAAGCAAGCAAGGAAGCCAGCAAGCAGGCAAGCGAGCAGGCAAGCAAGCAGGCAAGCAACCAGGCAAGCAAGCAAGCAAGCGAGCAGGGAAGCAAGCAGGCAAGCAAGCAGGCAAGCGAGCATGCAGGCAAGCAGGCAATCGAGCATGCAGGCAAGCAGGCAATCGAGCAAGCAAGCAGGCAAGCGAGCAAGCAAGCAAGCAAGCGGGCATAGGTTAGCCCCTGAAGCTTTCCCAATCTTTTCACTCTAATTTAACTCTAATTACTAAGATTATTGTTTCTACTAGCTTCTTGTTTCTAGTAGTAAGGCCCTTGTTCCTAGTAGCGATGCCCTTTGCTCCGTTCGTAGCGTTCAGTTGACTCATGTTCCAGTTGACTCCTTCGCCCAAAATGGTTTCGACCCCCCAACCTGTGACCAGCCCATGGATCCAGCGCACGTCGCTTCGCGACGACGTGGTGTGTCGACTTCCCAGCTTTGACTCCGTTTCGGGGCCCACAAGCGGGTTGAGAGTAGGCACTGGCACCCCAGTCGAGGTCTTTTAGATGGGAGGGTCCATATCAAACACCGAGCTTGGGGATTGCGCCATTGGTCCTCTCAACCCACTTTTTCTAGGGGACCACACTCAAAAGGCACTCGAAATATGTGGTTCTACGAGGATGCCATCTGAGTGTGATCCCCAAACACAAACCATCCCAAACCCCATTGGTTGGGACCCCCCCCAATTCCAATACCTCCAAGGGGGGCCTGGGATCGTCCGGCTGCCACACCCCCAATGGCCGCGGCCGGAGAATGTGTCCAAGTGTCTCCACATAAAAGGGAATGGAGACCTTTGGGTCCTGTCCAGTGGGCGGAGGGCGGGCGGGGCACCCAGGAAACATCTGGTTGAAGCGTCTTCTTCCCAGTTGAATCATGCAAAGCGGATGAAGAATGCAACTCAATATGTCTTTGTGACCCCATTGCGGAGGGCGACCCAGGTCCCTCAATGCTACAAACTACCACCAATTCGTTGGGATCCCACTCTTGTTGACAACGGTCAAATGCGGAGTCAATGCTCATTAAACTGGATAATGGCATGATAACGGCAACTGTAACGGCATGAAAGCGGCAACTGCTTAGTCCTCCAACGAAAACGATCTGCTAAAGTCGGAGACCAAAAACCTGGGTCTTATCTTGTAGCCCAACCTCCTCCAAGCGAGAAACAAAGGGACCTGGCCTTGATGCGGAGCATCGTCTGCTGGAAGCGCGCATGATAAGGGCCGCTGCCCATGGTGGGCAGCGCTTCCACCTCCTCGGAATGCAGCCATCTTCCATCTACCTGAAGTGGGTGGAAGCTGGAGTCAGCCTCGGCAACGGTTTCCTTCTGAGTGGATTTTCCTAGATTTCCAGCTGCTTCAGCCGGTGCGTCGTCATGCGTCGTCATGATGGCTCTTGTCGTACAAACAGAAAAGGACTGAAACCTGGGTCATAAAGGCTCCAACTTCCGCGTGTTTCTGGATGCGAGTATTTCTGAAGAGCACATTATGATACATTATATGCTGCTCCAAGCAGGAAAAATCCAACATCTTCCACCCGATCTTGAAGCACAGGATGACCGTCTGCATGTTTCTGATGACGTTTATCCTAGAAAGATGCTAGCTACATGTTTAGAAATACATGCTGATCGGGGAAAAGACACATGTTTCAGAAACATCGGGAACATGACCCATGCCAAAAAAAAGGAAAGCATGCATGAAACATGCTTATGCTTATACGATGCTATGGATGCATCGTATGAACCCCATGCTCATCCATGTTGTTTACGGTACGTATATCGTTGGAGACTCCAGATTCATCCTCCCCAGTTGCGACATGTTGCGACCCGCTGGTCCTCCCCGCGACCCTGCCCTCCTCGCTCGCACCAGCCGCCTTCACCGCATGGCCGTTGCTCTCCTGTACCGTGACCGTGCGGTCGCCCACACGGACGTTGTCGCCCGCCACGAAGCCCATGGCGGAGCGGAGAGCGGAGATGCCGCGGTGTTCGACCGGCCGGCCGCTGAGGCCAAGAAGCTGGGGACGGTTGGTGCGAAGGATCTGTAGTTGGTTTTGCATGTGAGAAGCAATGAAGACCCACAAAGTAAGATTGTGTGTGATGTCACACACCTAGGCAAATGTCCAACACGGTATGCAGCATACGGGAGACAATGAGGCAATGAACTCTGAATTCTTAGACATTGGGAAAGAGTACAAACCCAAACTCACAAAACGTCGCAAAGCAATTCAGAAAAGGCCAAAGCATGTTTGGGCAACCGCTAAGGGCTTGCAGGACACATCGTTTACCCTTTCACATCCAAATGAATGCAGCATGCAAATGCATGCAAAGTCAAGCACCAAGTCCTCAGCTGGATTGCGAGTTTCGGGTGCCCGCCGGATTCACACCCGGACAGCAGACCCTTTTTGGGGCGGAGAAAGGTCTGAAGATTTGCCATCAAACGCCCGCTTGCGACTCAAATAACAATAAATAAAGACCGTGAATATCAAATATGAATATCAAATGAATCCAGTTGCATGGAAAGCCCCACTCGAGTCATTCCAAGATATTCCAAGTCTGGTCAGGGCCCCAGTGCATCCTCCAAAGGTCCCGAGCTCCGGGTCCCGAGCTCGGAAGACCGGCTTTCGCCCCCGAGAAACGCGCGGAGAAGGTGGAAGAGAAGGCGGCTTGAGCGGCAGAGCTGCGAAGGATCGAAGGATCGATTGACAGGTGTCTTCTTGTCCACACGTCACGTGGGTTGTAATTCGCCATGAGAAAAACACACTCTTTCGACGTAAGCACTTCAAGTCAGCGATCCCGGACCCGCTCCAAAAACAAGAGATCTCACTTGCTGTTCCAAAATGGTCTGCACGTGGGACGGGCGGTCCGCAAATAGATGATGCCAAAAAGCACGAATCCGAACGTGTCCCGTGTCCCACTTATACTGCAACTCACTTCCTAGGATTTTTCGAATTTGTTCTATTATTGCTATTAGGAAAACACTGTCTGGGAGGCTATCATGAATCAGGGTCTGACCCAAATCATCGCACATCCAAAAGGGAGATCCATAAGATTCAGGACCCTGCAAAATGGGGTGTTTGAATTTGGGGATCCCAACCTATCCCAATCACCTTCCTGGTTTTCTCAACTCAAGTCAAGATCACTAGTTTTAAATGTTTAGGACCACGAAATCATGACTCAAATCTATATGTGGTGTCCTGATATAGCCTATGACGCCCTCACTTCGGGACTGGGTCACTTCTCCGCGCATCAGCTGGGTCACAGCCCCATCGCTCCACCGCCCGACCTTCCGAGGAGAGGTCTCCACACCACCTGAGGTGACGCGAACCCGCTCGACCGGTGAAGTCACGGGTCGACTCCAGGGCCAACCGCCAGCTGTGGCCAGCTGTGGCCAGCTGGAAAAGGGGTCGGTCTGTTTTCCCAAGTGTGCAAGCCAGGCTACATGCCACCAAGAACTGCTTTCGTCCGCCATCTGGGAGCTTCAACTGCGCTGACTGGGCTTCCCACTGTCGAGTTCCAGAACCCGTGTCTCCAGATTCTTCAGCTTCTCCTTGAGATCTGCCTGGCGTCAGGGCTTGGCAAAGCAAACCGTTGGCCTTCGCTCCGATGTCGGATGTCGGTGCCGCCTCGGTGCGGGCGGAGGTGCTTTGGAGGCGAGTCTCCAAGCTTTGGCTTTCTGCGATGGCTTGCTGCTTCGCATAGCTCCTTGGATCCCACGTGGCTGGGAATAGGAATTCAAGGAAAGGATGGGGAGGTCGTGAAGTCGGCATAAGCTGGAACTGCAGGACCAAGCAAACCTCGTGGTGTAAATGCTCTCGAGAGGGAGGGCGAGAAAATTGGATTCAAATTCAATCCTTCGATATTAACGGGCCCAAGAACTGTCTATATATTATATAAAGGATCGTGCATCTTGGCGCCCCACTTCATCTCTGCCAGGACCTGTCTTTCTTCCACAAAACAAGCGGCGCAGGAGATCGCAACATGGAGGGAACGCAGGGTCTAGACACTCACAGCTACATTACATGCCTGAACATATGTTGAAGATTGTTGAAGCATCTCTTAATGACTTGAAGGTGGCTTACTGCCTTATATGTTATACGTCTAGAGTGGGGCGTTCTGAATACTTGAAGCCTCCATGTGCACTGAAGCTACGCACTACGCGACGCATTCTACTCTGAATGGAGGAGCCTGCAGCCAATCCCAATTCGAGAACTACTACTGGGGCGACTGAAGCATTGTCCTGAGACAGCATTCCAGGCACCAAAAGCGTGGGTTTGGAGGCGAAACATGCTCCAACCCTGTTGCCTTCTGAGAATGTATTTATAGTTTGGATCCAATGTACCTTATCCCTGTTCCCTAATTAGCCTTCCAAGACCGTTAAACCGTTAAACGAAAGGTTGACCTGGCTCTGTAGTCTAGAGGCCTCAGTGAAATTTGCTCATTCGAATCTTATGCCCACCGCAACCAACCCCACCACGCCTGGTCCGGTGCAGAGCTCTTGGCCGCATCGCGAAGGGTTTGGAAGAGTTTCTTGGTGTCCTTCCAGGGCGCCCACGGGTGAAACCCGAAAGCCCTCTCTCATCTTCTCTCATCTTCTCTCCACCATCACCTCTGTGAGGAGGTCCCGTTCTCGTTCAGGATTCGGCCCAAAAAGGGTGATTGGAAAAACATGTGAAGTGCTGGCCCAGTGGCAACACTGGAACTGGAGCCAAATCCGAAGGCATGATGATGACTAACCAAGAAACAGTGCCTAATTGTTCTATCAAATCCAATTCCAAACAAGCAACATATCTACATAGCGTGCTGACCAACTTTAGTGTGTTCTGCTCTGGCGCCAGGAGTAAAATTGCGAAAACCTTTGCATGTCACCTCTGAAAGTCGTATGGAGGTCGCATGGCCGGGGGTTCCAACAGCCGTTGTTTTCAATGGTCTTTACCAACCATTGTGTTACCAAGGATTTTAGACCTGAATATGCAGGACACCAGTCTCCTTGATGCACAGTTTTGGTTTATCATAGTTTATCGGCCGTAGGGATCGTCTCTTCGTCCATGGTGCAGCGGTTCTCTCCCCCAAATGGAACCAGGCGAAATCACAGCGAACGAACCCACACGACGCTCTCCATTTGATGTTTGCGGGTCTTCCTGGGCCCATCTACCCAGCGAGCAATGCGAAAACAGGAAAGAACAGAACACATGCAAGCACAGTAAACCAATGGGGTACTTGGCACTGATTTTCATGGAAGGACAGCTACGTATACAGCCACACATTCTGAATATCTTCAAGAAATCATGGAAATATATGGAAATCCAAGAGTGTCTGGGCCCTGGGAATTGCATGAATCAATCTGGCAGCATCCACGTGTTCTTCCTCCCTGGATCCTCTGGCTTCCCCTGGCCGTGCGCCGGGCACCCCATCCGGTCCTTGAGAGCGGCACCTGTTGGTCGGTCCCGAAACGGAAACGAAAACGAAGGCCATGCCGCGTGTCCGGAAGAAGCTGTGGTCACAAAGAACGTACACTTTCTCAGGAAGAAGTGGCAAGTGGTGTCTTTCGCGAAAAGAGGCACCTGCAAAAAAGAACCTGGGTTTGATCCGCTGGAATGGTGCTAGCTCATGCAGCAAAACCAGGTGATTGGGTGGTGAACATCGAATTATGGATCCTAATCTTGATTTTCTACCGATGGACATGAAGGACATCTCACATCAGGTTTTGCATGGTTTTGCAGCTGGTGCTGTTAGTGCTGCAGCTATCTAAAACCCCTTGCTGAGGTAGGCAGTTTGCATTGACATTGTCACGTAACTTGATGAATCTCTGTCCTACACACCATGCTTGCCTGGCACCAAAAAGGTCCCTTCCACCCAAAACACACCCCTTCGATCACAAAAGCCAAAGTTCTGGATCACAAGTACAGCCGAAACACCACGTTCTCGACGGTTTGTCTCCTCCGGGGCCGAACGAATCGCACATGACGCGGCGACGCCGCGACGCCGTCCCGAAGCGCTTTGGTGGACGCACTCGGTGGAGAGCTCCGAGAGGCCTTGGAGCGTCGTGCCGCCCGGAACCGCTCCGGGTCCAGGCCGTTCGTGGCGAGAGAGAACTCGGGCGCCGAACTCGGGACCCAGAGTCGGGTTGTATGCTCCCTAGGGATCCGAGTCTACAACCTTCTCAGGTTCGGTACGACTGGACCCGACAACGGCACCGTCTCATAACAGTGCCGAACACATCACCGTACCTGAGAAGGTACGACTGGATCATCTTGGATCCCTATAGGGGCTTGTTGTTTTGTTTCAATCATGTCCAAACACAGTCCATATGGGACTGACTTTTGCAGGAGGTCTGTTAAATCGAGAAGTGCATGGGGCATGGTCAATCAACAGCAAAAACCCTCTCGCAGTCGCCCCTGACCTGCTGGAAAGAGAGCCCATCTGTCCATGGCCTGGAATACTAATGGAATATTACCCTGATCAACCCTGACATGTTTGGATCAACCCCAGGGCCCAAAGATGCTCAAAAAGTGAACGACGCTTTCCCATCCGGCAAGGAGACCCACGGCTTGACCTGAAACCGGTTGTTCAAACCGCCCAAATCCAGCTCAGGCTGAACCCCTGAAAGGTCTTGATGGGTCGTGTTGGTTTCTTCCTTCCTGCTCTATCCTGCTCTTGGATGCTCTTGGGATTACACCGCCAGGCCAAGTCCATTTTTCTCAGTAAATGCGCCCTCTGCACTTCTCGCTGCCGCACAGGCAAGGCTGGTGGCGCACACTGCCGTCCGCCGCGAGCACGGCCTCAGGTGGCATGCCATAGTCGTAACGCAGCTCCTGCAGGGAGGATGGTGAGATGGTCGTGAGATACTTAGGTCTCACAACAAACACGACTCTCAAATAGCTCAAGTTGATGGCAATGGGCCGAACACAACTCAGGTGGGATTTGAGACAGGTCTCCTCTGGCTGGATGGGCGCTAATTATTGGTGACGTGTTGGAGGCTGCTGGTATGTGAATCATGTGAATCCGTCCATGTGACCCAGCTTGACTGCCAATTCCTCCGCCGAAACGCCCCCGTCCTCGCCCGGCGCAATGGTACGGTTGGCCACGAAGCACACGCGCGGCAGCCTGGCATCCACCAGAGCCTGGCACATGGCGGGTGGTGGGCAGCACTGCGGATATCCTTTAGGCCGACCACCGAAACAGAACCTGTAGAAACCCAGGAAGAACCCGAGTCATTCGCCTTTTCGAGGAGTCATCGAAGCACTCATCATTGCGGCCGATTCTCATTCAAGATTCACTTTATAGGGATCCAACTCCAAGGTCGTTGACCCAGTTTTTGCTCAACAAGTAGAAGGACAGTTCCCTCCAATCCGGTTTGGTGTTTGCATGGGTTTGGGGTGTTGGCTCGGTCCCTACCTTCGGTAACGGAGCGGAACGGAGGTGGGCATGGCCAGGGGGACCATCCTCTACAATCCTCAACAAGCAGCCCTAGGGCTCCAGTCGTACCTCCTCAGAAGGTATTTGGACCCTCTAAACCCACTCCAAACACCTTCTTAGAAGGTACTTGGAGCCCTAGGGCAGGTGGTGCCATCCATTTCCATGTGAGTGACTCAAACGGAGTGCAGTTCTTTGGGACTCACTGGCCAGTGCCCTTCTTTTTGCCAACCACCCATGCCCCGGTTCCGCACGTTCTTTTTTTTTAACCGTGCCTCGGCCGGGTAGACGTAGACGGGACACACGTTGGCCTTGGCCGATGGGTGGACAAATACTCCCAGGTGCCCAACGTGTTTTGTGCGGTGGACTGAAGGGATCCTGGTACTCTCCCTGGAACTAACATGAACTAACATGCAAGTGGAAAACCCCCACTAAAGTAAGTAGAGACAATGGGACCGTTTTCCACTTCCATGCTAGGACCAGGGAGTGTAATCCTTGTAGATCCAGCTACAGTACTTTTGATGTGGGAAAGTCCTGAACCTGCCAAAAGCGGCGCTTTTGGTTAAACCTGGCAAGCATATCGTATACGTGTCTTGGCTGACCAACCATGACACAATGATATTCAAGAGGTTCTTCGAGATAGTTCCGAGTTCCTCCATGAGTTGCTCATTTCATCTCATTTCTATGGACTCTTGATTTTTCAATCCCATTAGAATTTGAAGAGGTGTCTCAATCCCAATAAAACTGCTTATCTACATGGGTTGCTCCATCACTTGCTCCATGTTCCCATCACCGGCAGCGCCTCACGGGAGGGCCCACAAGCATGGTTCAGGAAGCGGCCCACGTTGCCTCTGAGGTAGGCATCCAACACGAAGACCTCAACGACAAGTCGCGACAGGACTCCACACCAATCTTTTTCCCGTGGAGGCTTGGACAGAACGAAAAGCGAGCAGGACAGCAGGACCTGGGAGTGGTGAGATCCACGAACATGAAAAACCATCGAGTAGAACGTGACACCGAGACTGGTGCGGAGATGAACCTGAGACCTGATTGATCTTGGTGTCTTATGTGCCTTTTGGAATTGATATGTGTTGGAGATGTGCTTTCAGTATCTTTCAGTGATTCCAACCACATGATGGGCTCCAGTTAGCCATTAGCCTGCGAAGGAGGACACAAATGAACACGAGCTCATCCGGTTTCAGCCGAGGGGCAGGATGATCTTCATCCCCTGAGCTTTCCACCTGCGCGAAAGCTCCAGGCTGATTGGAGCATGGCCACAGTGAAGTGATTTCGAGGACATTCATTGGTTGTGCCTAGCTACGATCAAGCTAGATATGAGCTGCTGTATATACATGGCTTAAATATCTATTCAATTGTTCCTTTCCACATCATTTGATCTGCGCACCCGGGGGTCGACTGGATCGACTGGATCGACTGGCGACTGGATATGACACACCCATCACACCTGAAGAGCCCAAAGTGACAGAGCTTGACCCCCTGGTTGGTTCAGTCACCGCCGAAGTTTGGTCACGGTATGAAACCGGTCATGAAACGGGTGATCCAGCTGCGGTATCTATATAACCGGACCGGCAATGGCAATGGTCAATGTCACCAAAGTCTCATGGTTTTGCTGTGCTTTTGTCTTTGACCAACATCAGTTGTTGGACCTTGTCAAACTTGCTAAGTTGGAAGGGAAGAGTTGACATCAGATGACTTATTCACCATCAACATCTGTGGTTGGCAAGGGTTGGCCTTCCTGCGTGTGAGATCACGCTGCATGGCCTCATTTTTTCATGGCTTTTGTGGGGTCGTGGCCCCTTCCCCTTTGCAAATGGGATTTGGATGGCACCCTGATTCATACCCACATCACTATCCTGGCGCTTCTCGATCCTCTTCCACGATGCACGATCCTCTTCGAACGGATCCCATGTTCTCGGTTGAAGAGAACATCAATACAGCAAACCCCCAGTTTAAAGGGTTGAACACCATCAGTTTTGTCTTTACAGTATAGATGGGCGTAACGCAATAAACAAAAACATCACAACCTTCATTGGATTCGCCGGCGGCGCCTGTGCTCCTAGGGATCGGCACTGCTTTGGCGTCGTCAGGTTGAAGAGATACCTGGGCGCCACGCGCAGGCACGACCGGCCGTCCCAGGCCGGACGGGTCGCGCTTGCTTCAGAAGCAGCGGGTATACGCGATAAAGCAAGTTTAAGAACAGGGGTGCCCATTCTGACATCAATAACCTCCCCGATTCCTGAATACAATTGACCGATGGGGTCAGGGCAACCAATTTGTAGTTTGTTTGTGCCTTTTTCTCAAAGTAACACAGAGGGCAGGATCTGCGGATCTGCGCATACTAGATCCAAGTGCAACACCGAGACGGAGAAGAACACATACTACATACTTATGGCGGTCCATGGCCATCTTGGGAAAGTCAGTGATTGTATATACAGTAATATATATATATACACCCTAGGGCTCCAACCACCTTCTGAGAAGATGGTTGGGGTGGGATTGGGGAGTCTAACCACCTTCTGAGGAGATGGGCCAGGAGCCCTAGGGATATAACATGCTGATTCACATCAACATCGTTCACGTTTTTACTCCTAAGACTCTTGCAGTTTGGTTTGGGAGTGTACTCAACTCGCTGGAGACTGGTTCCACTCCACGCCCTTCATACGTATGTCATACGGCAACACTGACCAGTAAAAAATAGACTTTAGAATGATCTTCCTCAACTTTCATGTTGAATCTTGGCCTCTACAAATTTAAAAATGCAAGTGATTGAGGTCGCAAACCATGCAAGTACTTTAAACATTAACATTCTATAAATGCCTTGAGGTACCCCATTTTACAACGGGGATTCAATAACGTACCGAACATACTATATTCAAATAGAACTCATACTATAATGCAATATCCATTATTGTTGTTGCACTCACTCGTCTCTTGGGTGGTGGGACAATGAAACCCTGGTGAACCATGCTGACCCCTTAGCCGTTGGAAAATGAAGGTCAGCCGAACTTTAAACCTAGTTTGATTTGAGTGGGGTGCCCCAAAAAACATCGGTGATTGAAGCTTGGTCAGATGAAGGAGCGTTCCCAGCACGCGAGGCTGGACTCCAGGCTCATGTGACACCCAGTTCCAAAGGCGCAAAGGGTCCACTCACCTTGTCTCTGAAGACCATCCCGTTGGAACTCCTGGATCTTCCGAAAAAGAACAAATACATCTCGTATACATCTCGTATACACCCTTTTTGCGTGTGAACTAAGAGTCCGGGGTTTTTTTTGGAAGAAGAAACTCCGGAGGTCCAAGTTCGGGCGAGTTTTTCCGTTGCCAAGTGAGTGGATCATGGGGGTGCCCATCCAATCACTGAGCACCCTTTTGGAACTGCCCAGCAAAGGCTGAGGAACCCTAGTTCGACTATCCGATAGGTACCCCTGTAGGGTCCTATTTACGGTCACTTAACCTCTGTAGGTGAAGCATTCTACATACTAATACGAGTCAACAGATTCCGTTTTGTCACATCCTAACCCATCGATGGCGTATCTCGCCCAGTGGCGCATCTCGTCCTGGGCCCAGTTCTTCGGCTTCTGCATCGAGTAAAATCTCACCT